CAATTTTAACAAATCTCACTTCTATTCAGGTCAATAAATACATTTATTTTAAATTAGATTTGTTTGAATTTGTGGATATTGGCCAAATTTGTGGTGATTAGGGTGGTCCTTAATATGAACATTTTCGAATTTTCCTGCTCACAAGGGCTCAAATGGTTCCAAATTGATAAAAAAACAATTCTCTGAAAGTTTTAGCTCTTAATATTGTCTTTTAGATAGAGCGCAATTCAATCAAAGTTTTGTATGGAAATAGAACCAAACAATTTTCAAAAATTTTGCAGAGCGTCGAATTTTCAATAAAAATGAAACGAAATTTCACTTTTAATTCATTTGTCGCCAAGTCATACCTAAAAAAATTTTTTCATGCTATTCCCATCTAAAAGTTAATATTAAGAGCTAAAACTTTCAGAGAATTGTTTTTTATCAATTTGGAACCATTTGAGCCTTTGGGAGCAAGAAATTCGAAATTGTCCATATTAAGGACCACCCTAGTGGTGATACACATTGATCAGGTTCCTTCTTGGTAAATGTCAATTATTGTTGAAATACCATTTTATTGATTTTATATGTTATTTCTGCTACTCCTCTTCCAGTTCAAAAATGTGATATCGTAGATTCAGTGATGCAATTTCTGCAAAGTGGTGATGTACCTTTTTCTGGCAGATCAGCTCCAAAATTTGCTGTGGATTTTTTTTAAAAGGCATTTTCTCTAATTTTTATTTGTTAGCGCCCAAAGGTACAAATTACTTCCTTTCTTTGTTCATTAGGAGTATATTGAGTCACTATCCGTGTATTCCTACAATCAAACTGTGAGGGGTTAGGCCAGGTCAGGGGTTAAGAGATCGTTTTCATTCCATCGCAGTTGCCTAACGATCTATCACAAAGGGCTACCGACTTAATGCTCGCATGTGTCGAATGCATTATGAAACATGTACATGTGTAATGTACATTAAAGATTCAAGTAGAGAGCTGATGGACCTTTTGGTCTCACTTTTACTGCTGTTCAATATTATGACATATAAAGTTGTGCCAATATTGCAGATTTATGCTTTTTGAATATAAATGAAACAGTTTACACTTTTATAACTTATACATTTAGTCACTAATCTGGGATGTAGATGAGGAAGGATTTATGGTTCAAATTGAAATGTGATAATTAGGGCATAGAGGGCAGAAAGGGGCGTATTGCCAAGTTGTAATATCATCCGACCTAATTACCTGATGCGGCATATTGCGTTATGATCCTAGATGGCACAATTACGTGTTACTATTTCACATTGTTATTAATATCTTATTGGAATTATTTTAGAGCATAATTTTTGTGTAAATTGAAGATGAATTACAAAGACCTCCGGACGTATTTCAATTAGAATAGAAAAGGACATAATAGCGTCTTGTTTTGTATATATAAAAATAGTAAGGGCTAATTGTCTGGTAAAAAACAAATGTCACGGCAACGCTATGCTACGGTCCTTTCTTCATATAACTAGGTAGTAAATATTGTCAAAATGCTAAGTATTTGCTGTAATTAGGCATTTTACACATAAAACCAGACTTCACGCATGCGTTACCAAGGGCACTTTGTAATGATGCATTTATGATACATTTATTATTTTATATGTAAAACACCAGACTACACAGCATATATATAGTTTTTACTACCAATTCATATGAAGATTGGACCGTAGTGTTGTCATAATAACGCCATGTTAGATTTCTATTTTACCTGATATTTTATTATATTATAATTTTTCATATTAAATAGCAATTCGTCCTTAGAATGCCATGAGTTCTAGGTACTGACTTTTTTGAATTACCAATTTCCATCCGATCAACTCATATTATTTTCATTTGGAGAATTTTATCTATACTGTTATCTATATTTCCAAGTGAAAATCAATAACAATACTTACACATTCTTATGCATTTTTCTTTCAAATCGTAGATAATATTTTTTAATAGTAATATAGTTTTATAAATTTTTCATCAACGATCTGACTATTGATGCGGCTAATATAAATACGAAGCACGCAATGCATGCTTGCATCGCGGCGTTTCTGTCTAATTAAATATTCTAATCAGAGATGTGGGTCAATCACTTTGTTTAGATTTTTCTCCGCATTTTATTAGTTTAAGCTCTTTTTAACATTTTGGGGGAGATTATTTTTTCAAATGTATTATTTTGTACTCAAAGACTTCGATTGTTTTAGTCAAATATCATTTCAGCAATCGAAAGTTTGAACATGTTACTCCTAAGATTATCTGTGCAAATCCATAATATTTTAAGGTTCTAATTATTTATGTGAGATATTATTTTTTATCTTACATAAATCAATTTTTTTTTTGATTTTCTTAAATGAAACGTAAAATGAAAATGTAAAGTTCGAATATTTTAGACACCCACCCTTTATCTGCAAAAAGCTTGTTGATATATTAAGAAGCTAATATGAAATGAACCAACTTATCCATAAGAGTTCAACTTTACGCTTTTTGGGAACAGTATATCCAAAAAATAACGGGTTATTTTTGGTAAAAATATTGATCAAATCCGTTAATAAATATGTACATATGACACGTACATACAATATGTTTTACTAATTTTGTTTATTTACTATAAATAACAAAACTTCGCAGAATAAAACCAATAATCTTCTGTCCCAGAAGCCTGATACAGCGATATTTTTAAGATATTTAGGCGAAGTTAGCACCCATTACCACCGATGTTGAAAATCGCAGTCTAGATGGTATATGTTAAAATATTAATATGTACATTATTTTACACTAATGATTTTGCATGACGAATATATTGTTACTTAGCATATTATACCTATTGCGTATTTTGTTCGTCACGAAGCTAATTTGTGTTTCTTGTATTGTTTAATGTTATGTTTTCTGAAAGTATTGCATCGCATTGAACTCTGCAACAAAGTCGTTTGCTGGATTTATACTGTATTGTTGCGAATTGAAATCGATGTCCCAGGATACACATTTACATTTGTTTCAAGAATTAGCGAATGAACTTCATTGTCTTCTTGAATTATTCATCTCCGACCTGGGACATAAGATCGCGTATCGTTAATAAATAAAGAAACCACAATTGTGTTTGGAAGTACTTTCAGAGAAGATCTGGACAGTACCTAATGGTGATTGTTTTCAGAAAATATTCGTGATGTATTTAACATTTTTATTACGGATAAATTATACTTATTGTGTTAACTTCTTCTTAGGGAGCGTCCATTAATCACGTGAGCGGGTTTTTGAGGATTTTTGGACCCCCTTTCCCTTGGTGATACATGGTGATATTCAAAATTAACCCCCCCCTCTCCAACCAAACACCACGTGTGTAATTTTTTTTAATAAAGTAATTTTTTTTAAAAATGCTAGATTTTTTTTAAAAAAATACTTGTACACGTGATATCTTACTATACCTCTTCCCTCCCCCACGTGATATTTCGTGATTTTTTGTCAAACCCCCTCTCTCCCTAAAAACCACACGTGATTAATGTGGACGCCTCCTTAACATTATGTTAAAAACAATTTCACTTTCTCTTTTGGATTTTATTTTTACTAATAGTCTTTTATTTCAATGGAAGTTTTGAACATTCAGAATATTTGGCATCTAAAATTAACAGATCAAAGTTTTTCTCATTGGTAGCATATTAGTATTTTAGGGCTTAAACAGTACGTTAAATTAAAAAAAAAGAGGAGCCAATTCTCCAGTATATGACAATGCTATGATATGGTCTATTTTACCGGAGAATTGGCCCCTGAATCGATCAAAGACTACAGAATAGAATCAACTATTTTTAAACCATATGCGCCTAGAAAGTTGTGTACAAAATTATATTTCAACTCTTAAACTCTTAACTAATTCTCTTTATATATCAATATATTCTAAGGATTTCCAGAATATGTCTAATTCATTTCAGTTTCTCTACTTGAAAATTTGTATTTTTTATCAAATTTCTTATATGAAGTGGTAGATAGAAGTTATAAATTAAATTTAAAATATTGTTTATACATTTTCAGTTTCTTCTTTATTACTGATTTATGTATTTTAAGAAAGATAAAATTCGTAGATTCTAAATAAATAAAATGTAATGTTCTGCTTAATTAAACCTATTTTATAGGGGATGAAGTATAACTATATCAACTATTTTTCGACATGAGTTGAAATGTAAAAACTATGTTAAGTGGCACTTTTCTAATATTTTTTTTGTTAAATATTCAGTCACTTTGTAATACTCGTAATACTATATGATTGTATAACATCACTGCATTTCAATGGAAGCTTTTTGCATATTCTGTTTGCATAATCAGTTTTCGATAATTAAACTCGATAGTATGAAAGGCGTTTAATGTTTTAGAAGATTTATTAAGAAGATAATATTACAGAGGGCTGTATTATATTATTTTCCAGAACAAGTATGTCATTTGCATTTATTCTGAAGGGCGTTTGGATATAACAACTCCGATTGTATAAGAGTTTTTGTCCTAGATATTTAATAATCTCAATTATCTGAAATCATGGAGTTAAAAGAAGTCATTCTAATATAAATTATTTATTGTATTATATATTTTTGTTACATTGTAGTATATAGAAAACTATCATTGGTAATACATATGTTATGATGAGCAATGAACGATTAGCAATTATGTACCTCTCTAATCCTTAATTCTTACATATGTAATCCATAACCTGTTATTTTTAATCTGGAAGACTTGTAGTAAATTTATACTGCATATCATTATTTTACATCTTAATCCAAATTATCTTAACTCTTAACAAAAAATCAATTAGTACATAAAAAATCCAACATGTTCTTTCATGAACTCAATTGATCCAACTTATACAATTATACTTTTATGTTTTTATTAATTTATTTAAACACTTAGCATCTTATGTTTACTTATATCAAAATGTGTTTATTATTTATGATTTAAATTATTGTTAATGTTTATTTATTTTATTATTTTTTACTTTTATCCCACGATCACAGTCCCATGCTATCGAGACCCGCGTCATACAACTTCGATCCGAATAGCAGTGATGGCCGTAACAGTCCTATCAGCAGTGAAGTTCATGATAACGCTACAGGATATCGTTTTGCTGAACTGAAAGACGATTATGACGACGACGACCAAGTAAGATAGAATTTAAAACATTGTTTTGGTGGTGGTAAAATAGTAATAGATTTTTAATAATGTTTCGATTTTCAACACGTTTTATGAAAATATCAATTGTCTATGAAATTTTCAAAAACAAAATGAAATTTCATAATATTCAAATTTTAGTTTCCTTGATATGGTTCTAAATCAAGCGATACAATTCACGTCATTTTACGTGAGGCGGCTATAAGTGAATATATGATTTTAATTAAAATTTCATAATATTCTAATCATACTTGAATCAAATCTTTATAATCAAAAATTTACCATTCTGCCCGTAATTTTGAAGTCATATAATATTCAAAATATTGAGTCACTGATTAAGAACAAGGATAATACATTTTTTTGTGCTTTTCTTCTTGATATTTTATTTTATAAACTTTGTTCACAAATTAAGTCACCTTATTTTTATACACCATTTTGAGCTTTTGTGTTATTTTTATTTTTGGATAATAAATTATAACTTCTTGGTCTAGAAGAAGTTATCCCTTTAAATAACTTCTGCGAATACTTATCCTGAACATTTAGTCAACTTGGGTTGATAATGATATTCTTATTTTTTTTTAACGTTAAATGCTTTTATGATATCTTCTTTATTGCGGTTTTTTAATTTTATATAGATTATTTATATTATTATATCTAATGTTATTATTATTATTGTTTTTTTTTATCTAATGTTATTATTCCATATCATATCATACCATTCCATATCATACCATAAATCCAATCAAAAACCTCTATTCTTAAAATTATCTATTTCAATTCTACGTTTCCTCAAATTTAATGATAAAATAAATACAGAATATATATATAAAACGAATATTTTCTAAAAATGCGTTATAATAGTAATATTACTGATTTTTTAAACATAATTTAATATTTGGTCATTTTATTCGATTAATACTATTATCTACATTTAAAAGAATTCTAAGGGAACAAGAATAATCGATTACTAGGATAATTCCTTTTTTTGCAATAGTTAAACGAGTAATAAAATATTTAAAAAGGGATTTTTGTTGGTAGAGATCTGCAATTATTATGGTGTTACTGATCAAACTTTGTAGATCATCATTTTTTAAAATCAGGCTGGGGTGGGTGCAGAATGAAAAGGTTGGAAACCACTGCTTTATACTTTCAAGTTAATATTCTTCATACTCATATGTAGTCTTAATTGAGTTTTTAAGTAATCACATCAATTAGGTATTTCTAAGCTATATATCTGAAATTTCTTTTTGTAAAATAATTTAAAAACAAAAGTACAGCTTTTGGTTCTTGTCAGGATTTTTTAAAATTTTATTTACTGTCTCAATATGGGTTTGATTCAGCTTTCCTTTCTTTACAGTAATTCTTTAGAGCTTTGAAATATACATTATTGTAACATCTAAAACCTAACTTCATGTGTGCGTTATCAAGGGCACATTAGAAATATGCACTTATGATAAAATTGTTATTTAATGTTTGTGCGGTTTATAGGCTAGGTTTTATGTATAAAATGCTAGATTGTACAGCAAATAAATAGCATTGTTACAGTTTTTACCACCAATTTATACGAAGATAGGACCGTAACATAGCTGTTAACGCCTTACTCAACCCTGGTCTAATGGAATAATATTATTATATTTCATTTTCTTCATACAGGATAGCAATAATAAACCCTCATCCCTTATTATAGAATTTCGAAATATATAATAATATTTCTAATTGTCATGCATCCTGTCCCTAAATCTATTATCATACCATTAATCCATTTTTATAAGAACCTTTAATCACCTTTTAATCATATAATCCCATGTACCCGGTTCAATTCCACGTACCCTGGAATCACCGGTTAATACCTGATTGGTCTAAAATGTAATGGGATGTCGCTTGAATCCACAAAAACGAACCGATCAGAAAAATAATCTAAAATTGTAAAATCTTTCTAATTTAGTAATATCTGAAATTTCATCTAACAAACGTGCTTATTAATTCAAACTTCAACTAAGTAACAAGTATAAACTCAAAATTTAACTATGCAACAAGTGTTATTTCAACTGTATAACATATCATCTATAAATCTTAACATCGTATTATATAATTTAAATATACAGCAATTAAACTACTTACCATATTTTAAGCGATCTGATATAGCCATTATCAGAAATATATCTAAATATAAACAAAGTATAATTTTTAATAGATCTCGGTGGATCACGAACTTCTATACATTTTTGTAATCTGTCTTATCACAACATAGCGTTGCCACAACAATTCTATTTCATCGGAGAATTGGCCCCCCTGGTACATTTATGTTATCTTACAATAAGAGGTAAACCCTAACCTTACTCAGAATTCTGCACCGTCATTGTTTATTCTATTAATGAAAATATCTCACTCATCGTCAGTGAGCTTTTCCTTGTTTGTCTGGTCGAGTACAATCAGGGATAAAACCCATTACATTCTGAATGTAGGTGACTAATGTAAAATCAATAAATACGTATTTCCGTTCGCGTGAGCTAGATTGTGAATGTGTGGCTTTGTGGTTTATGAATGTAGTCGTGTTAATCTGTAGTGGATGTGAGGAGCTTAAAAAGCTCATTCGTTATCGATGCATAATATATTCCCCTGACTTGCTTGCAAGAGCTCCAACTACAGTGTGGGTATTGAAAAAGGTGTGGTAGGCGGCATGGCGGTCCAGACGAAACATAATATGTATAATCATTATAGCAGTGGCTCCCAACCTGTGGGAAGGGTCCCTCAGGGAGGCACAAGGTTGTTGAAAAAAATTAAACAAAAGCGTTGATATGATTTAAAAAAATAATTGATTAAATAATGAATTTTGTATATATTTCGATATGTTATATTTATCTATATAGTCTGATAAATGAATTATAATATCAGTTAAGTATGTATAAATTAGGTTGTTGAAAAATTAAGGAGGATACTTTATGAATAGGTTGGAAACTGTTGCATTAAGTTACATATTCATTCTCATATGTTGATTTAATTAAATTTTCAATTAATCACATCAATTAAGTATTTCTAATGTATAAGCTATATGTCCAAATTTTTTTATTGCTACATAATTTAAAAAACTCCAGCCTTTTTTGTTTTTTTTCTCTTCATGATCAACTCGTGCCTATTTGAAAACTAAACTTGTCAAAACCTTTTTTCATTTCTGAGCATGTTTATATATTTTAACCCTACTTAATAAGCCCATATATGTTGCATTTATCTTGAGCTTTTAAAATTCTATGATCGTTGTTTTGGAATATTGTGTTTCTACTTAATTACCACAATCAATTTATAATTTTCAAATTCCTAAATGCGCATTAATGTAATAATATTATCTGAAGATACAATACATTTATCAAAATCTAGCTTATTATGGAATTACCATAACATACCACGAAACACGATACAAAAAATATTGTATTGCAAGTAAAATACATATTAAACTGGGTGTAAGTGGCATTTGGATTTGAGGGAAGTTATACGGTGTATGTCCTAAGAGTGTTGCTTATTAATCCAAGCTTTGTTAATTTTTTCTAACTAAATCAGTGATAGTATGACAAAAAAAATAAGTATACTAGTGTAGATAATTAATATTATTACTGTGCAAAATTTCAATAAAAAATCGTCATTTCTTGCATTCATTTGCTTTGCAAAGAAACGGTAAGCCGATCATCGCTAAAAAAAAATCTGTGCGAATTCTTGTCGAGTTCTATGGAATGGCTTAGGGAAGTTTTTAAAGAATTTAAATTTAATTTTATTGAAATAGAATTTAATCGAATGGGAACCTAAAATATTATGGGTTTTATTTAAAACTTAAAACAACCCAAGAGAAGTAAAGTATGTTAAGATATAATCTACAATCTAATTTTATACTGGGTTTTACACTTTTTAAATAAATATAATATTTTAGTAAAATATTGTTTACATAAAATTCAATATAAAAGAAAATGTCTATTCTTATTAATTTTTTTCTATAAATCTATTTTATTTAATACCAAATATGACTCGTTTCAAAAATACTGTTTTAAATGCTAAAGACGTAAAATAAATGGATTTATTAAAAAGTATGAAGTGCAAGTAAAGGCAATAAAACCGCAAGCCAATTTTCACTTGCATTCATCAGCATACCTTAAAACAAAAAAAAGCCTGTGGAAATGGTAACAGTTAAGGATTATAATTTACTTATCAAGTTTCCAGACAGCTATGCTCATAATTTATACTAATAACTCATTAACAAGTACATAAGTTATTATTCAAGTTAAGTTTCTAATCCATTGGTTTCTATTAATTATATTATGGATATTAGAATAATTTAATTTATTATGTGAAAGCAATGCAAATTAATATTTCTATTATCTATAACTATTTGAAATTCTTATCGATTAAAAGACATCTATAGTATTGTAATGTTACATTTAAACGGTTGTTGTTCTAGTAATATATGTCATATAGAGAATCACGGTCAAGGTACGTCGGAAGCAGTTCGAAAAATTAATATATGATCTAACAACCTGACATGAATTGAAAAACAAGTGTTAGAGCGGTGATGAATTTGTTCTATGCATGTTTGTAATTTTAATGACTATGGATTTGTGGGAGTTAGGCTTATGACAGTTTCAGAACATCTGATGTTGGTATGTCTATTTATAAAAATCATCCAAGGATAAGAAAAAGTTTCAGGTGTTATTTTTGAATTTTTGAAAATTATTTTTTTGTGCAGAAATATCAAAAATGTGCAGAAATATCAAAGAATTTTAGCGAAGATGTTGTTGTGGGCTATAATTACCGAATCATTTTTCATTCCGCGATTTATTTGCATGGCATTTTTTTCAACTTTTTTTACTAGATTGCCAAAACCGCTAGACCTGCCTTCCCAAATAATCAATACAAGTAAAATGTTTTTTGAATTATTAAAATCGGACGCTCCATTCTCTTAAAAACTGAGTTACCGTTTTTGACAATTTTTGCTTCGTATCTTCAAA